CCACATTAAAGACAGGGAAGGGAAGATCAGTGACTGAAGGCCAGATCCACTCAGAAGCCTGAGTCTCAAAACCAGGAGGAGAGATGGCCATTAAAAGTTAGACCACAAAAAGGTTTACACCATTAATCTTGCCTGTAATTATGTCAGTGCAGTTGCAGAACAGCAAATAAGTCCACACTTCTCAGGTCTGGTGTTCCAGCTCCAACCACCAGGATGTCCCTTCCCTTCTCAGGAGCTGATGTTGGACAAGCTGTTCTGTGCAATCCTGAGCTGAAGAATACCTGTTTTCTGGGCAAGTCAGGTGGGTGCAGTTTGTTTGTGTTCACACAGCAGGGCCAGGGCTCTGAACCCTGAGGCTGTTTGTGAATGTGGATTTCTGTGTACTTGGAGAACTGACAAGAAATGCTGCAGCTACAGATGGTACCCCTGGAAAAAAGGAGCACTTTGCATCTGTTTGCTATGCAAATTAATTCATTTAACATTTGTTGACAGCAGGTCAGTTTAGCACAGGAATCAGGCTAGAAAGTTGGCAATTTAGGAACTAAGTTTTACTCTGTCCTCTTCAAAAGTGAAAAAATCCAAGGGAGAATTAAAAGCAATTAGGCAGAAAACAGCAATTAAGCCTAGACTGAATTTAATTTTTAAACCATTAAAATCCTTGCAGCTTCCAGAGAACTAGGAATCATGGTGGGTATGTCCACAGAAAACAAAAAAGGTGATGTGACTTCAGCAGTGCTCTGACCCCCAGACCCAGCACTTCCCCTGGAAAGCAGGGAAACACCTGAGGAGAACCCTGGGGACTGGTGAAGGTCTCTGGCCCTGCCTGGGTGCAGCACATGAGCCACAGCTCCATCTCTCCCCCAAGAACTCAGCTCATACTCTTCTCCCAAAGCACCTCAATGGCCGGGTCAAAGCTGCAGAAAGGACCACAAACTGGTTTTGTTAAGATGCACCAAACCATTACATTATTTCAACTGCAGCACAATTTGAAGACAAATGCTTCTGGACTGCAAACCCCAGCAGGGACTCAGGAGTTTAAAGACCACGAAAAAAGGACAGTTAACTAGAACAGACATTCTACACATACCTAGAAGAATAAAATGCAATGTGAAGACATAAAACCTGTAAATGAAATGAAGAAACATCTGTGCATATTTAATGATTCTCCTAGCACCAAATGTCTTCCTTACTTCTTCCCCAGTCCTACTTTTCATAACCAAAAATTCACTTTGCTTTGTTTTTTACTGTTCCTTTCCAGACTTCTACCATATATGTTTCTTTTACCAGCTTCAAGAGAATGTAAGAATACCTCTATTTTATAGAATTACACCCAAGGCAGAATCCCTCACAAGGCTCACGACCATCTTCAGTAGTAAAATGATTATGGATATTGCAGATCCATTCATCATATTGGGTCTGCCCCTAGAAACAAAGCACAGCAATGCAACAAAGCATCTTTTTCCCAATCTCAGGATGAGAATGGAGACAAAATTACCATCACCTGCACTGGTTTATGAAACCTTGGTAAAGATTACAGAAAAGGCATCCAAAAAATTTCATTACCAGACCATCCTTTGGAAATTGGATGTGCTGCCAAGCTTGCAATGAGGAATACAGCACTCCCAAAACATTTATTTGAGCAGAGCTTTTAGCAAGTCAAGCAGAGAGTGAGATGGCAGAGAGAACCCACGAGTCACATTCCAGATGAAACCAGGACTCAAAAGATCCCTACAATGGACACTGTCATGCAAGAAGGCTTAACTTCAGAAGGAGCCCTTCAAGTAAACACTGTCTCCCAAGTCAATACAGACTTTAACCAGCTGCCTCTTCTCCCTCTGATTCTCACTGTGTTTATGTGGAGTTACCTGTGGCAGCTTGGAATGGACCTGCCAAGGATCCCAGGTAATCCCAGAGTTCAGTAACAAGGCAAAAGAGAGAGCACATGAATGGCCTTCCTGATGATACAAACTGTGCAGCTCCTCTGATTTCCAAATGACCAGGGCCAGTGTCACTCAGCCATGCCCAGACAAAGGCAGCTCAGACAGGTCCAGTCCTGAGGCCACACAAGGAAAATCAGCCTCGAGTATCCCTGAAGGACGGGTGTTCTTTCAGACAGGGGTCAATCAGGCTGTACAAAGGCAGGAAGCTGCCCTGGCTTTGGCCAAGGGGCAGAGGGCATGGATCATGCCTCTCATCCTGTCAGGTTCATTCCCAGCTCTGGTGCAGTTCAGATCTCTGCTCAGGTACTGCCCCAACTACTGACCCTGCTGCAGAAGCCTCCCTGCACCCCCCCACTCCTGCTGCAGCTCTGTCTGGGCTGTAATTCCAGCTGTTCATCCACCCCCAGGCACTTGGGCCAAGGGGACCACAAGGATACAATTCACCAGGACACAACCAGGACCTGAACCCCCAGAGTGAGGAGGGAGAGACACTTACAAACTACACAGAGCAAAAACAGTACTGCTGACAGGAGAGGACAGGAAAGGAAAGTGGGATGGATCAGGTTTTGAAGCAGAGGTAAAGGTAAATAATTGTAATGTGGGGTTTGGTTTTTTTTTAATTACTTGTTTTTAATCACTTTGAAATAAGTGTTTCCATGGCTCCACATTATCAAAGGAGAGACCTAGATTAAGAACAAAGTAAAGATGAGTAAGCAGTGTTTAAAAAAAAAAAAAGGGGGAAGCAATAATTAACTGGCAGTTCACGCTGTGAATCACCGAGTTTGAAACAAACTCGCCCACATCTGTTGATAAACTTCATTAACTGAAAAAATGATCCTGAAAGGAACACCATCCTGCATGCATAATGTCTGTCTGCTGCTAAGATACCTGGACTGCAAGGGCACCCAAAACCTGGGGAGCTCAGAGAGTCTCTGTTGTTTGGGAAGACAACACAGCCCACACCTGAGGCTCGCTTCCAAAGGGGATCAGGGAGGCTGGCACACTACCAGGAGGACTAACCTCCCAATTAAATATCAAACTGGGGAACAGGCTGCAGTCTGCAATAAGCTCCATTCATGGAAAACTGGATTTCTAAGAGCAGCTACTGTGTCAGTGAGAGAAGTGTAGGCAAAGGGGTTTTCAACACTGACGTCTGTCACACAGATGGCTGCAACAATTTATTCTCTGCTGGTGTTAACCAGCACATCTTGCTGCTGCTTTTAAGGATAAACTGCAGAGGATTTCAACAAACAATGCAAAATTATTTCCAACAGTTTTAATGTTAATTACTTTTGCTATGTCCATTTACATGCCCAGATCTGGAAGTGCCCTACAAAAGGTATGTGACATCCAGGAAGCAGAATCAGCTGCAAGACAGCTCCTATCCACCTGCTCCTGCATCTGTCCTGTCCTGGACTCATCTCACTGCAACTCCCCTGCACCAACAGCACTCATAATTCACTGGCTGCTGTCCTGATGTGTTTTAAGGGCATCAGGACCACTTTTAAACATCAGAAGTTCAAATTCTCTAACATACCTCATTCCTACTATGCTCCACACCCCTCTTCATTAACTTTAGAAACACACTGTCCAAAGGGGTACAAGCTTTTGTGTTTCCTGTAAAACCAGTGCCTTACTGTTAAATAATAAAAAAATATCCACAGCCAACTAACAAACCCAAAGATATCCTGGAATGCAGAAGTTCAGGTGGATCCACATGCTAATAAAATTTTATGATGTGGATTAGGCTAGTCTACTAATGATGAATTTATTGTCTACACTTACTGGAGAATCTCACATTCATTGAGATAATCCTTTTATTTCCCCACCATGACTAATTTCCTCTTGCAGAACACTGTTAGAAAATGAGACACTGGTAAGTAAAACCCTCCATGTCTGGAGCCTGCTTAACGGACCTCAGCTTCCACTGGGACTGCAAATAATTTCAGTAATGGGCCCTTTCAGAACACTTTTCATTACTTTCTGCATTTGTGAAGTTACTCGGGGGAATAGTTATTGCAATTTAGAGACCACAAGCCTAAGAAACAGAAATGAACCAACTTTTGAAGCTGCATTAATCAGCAGAACTCTGACAGAAGTGCACTTGAGAGCAACAGCAGGTATGATGCCAAACCTTTATTAGTTTTGTTCAAACTAATTGACTTCATCACAAAGCTGAAGAATCTAAACTGGGCATCGCTGCTCCACCTCCAAAGCGAAATGAGAGACAACACTGTTCAGGGAACACTGGTTCTTCCAAGGTTTTCAGACTCCTCCTGGCCCCAGCTTCCAGCAGGTACTGTCCTGCTCTCCAGGTGCTTTCAGAAATGCAAATACAGTATCTAACAAGAAAAGGCTCCTTTGCAAGGAAAAGTAGAAGGAATATCCAGGTTCCTAAATGGTCAGTAGTTCTAATATCCCATGGGTCCTAAGTCACCTTTGCTTAAAATAGGAGCATGTCCTCAAAAGGTTAAAACTGGATCTGTATTTCAAGGTCTGTTTAATTACAGGAAACTACTTCCCTTACGACTGCAAAAAATGCCTTTTCATAGGAAAGGACCTAAAACCCAAGGAGGGAGTTATCTGAAAACACAGTTTTCAAATAAATAAAACCAGCACCATCAAGGGAAGCAGGAAAGGTACTAAAAGTTCATAGAAAGCCACTGACCCCACTGCAATGAGTGTCATTGGGATTCTCAGCACCTGCAGCACAGTTCACATTGCAAAGTGCCTTTTGTGTCCTTAGCTTGGTGGTTTAACCTCACCTGGTCACCTCCATTGTGTTATAGTGCCCTCCGTGAACCCTCTGCCCCTGACCTGGGCACACGACCTGCTCCTCACAGTGACCCCACTGCACAGACCCACTCTGGTGAGTCCTACAAGAGTCTGTGGCAGGTAAACACCCCAGGCACCGCTGCTGCGGCCACTGGGACGGGGATATCCCTGCAAAAACAAGGACATGGGATCCTTCCCTTCTGATCCCACTCCTCTCAATGAGATGCAGCCCCAGAGCCGGTGCCCAGGTGCCCAGTGCCAGGTGCCCAGTGCCCGGTGCCTCACCGTAAGCAGCCCGAGGTGTTCTTGAACACGGTTGTCCACTCGGCGTCGCGCGGCTTCGAGTCCTCGTTGGGCTCGCTCTCCCAGCCCGAGTGGGGGATGATCACCTCGTTGGTCAGCGTCTGCAGCCCGTGGTTGATGATGACCATCTTCAGGGGCTCGTAGGAGGACAGGTTCCACAGGGTGCCTGCAGGAGAAGCAGGGATTATTAAATAACGAGAGAACAACAACCACTCAGAATCTCTGGATTAAACAGGATCGCTGGATTCACAGGGAATCGCTCGAAGGTTAAAGCACAAAACTAAACAAAAAGGCAAAACAACTTGGTGAGGAGCCAGACCAGCACTAGCTTAGGGAAAATGCCACAGCTGCTGAAATAGAACCTTTCAAAAGCATGGATACATTTTTATCAAGACACGAATACTGTTGAACTCATCAAGCCCTACAAACAGAGTACATAAAAGCGATGGGCTATTGGAGATTAATAGGATTTTTCTGCCATATACAAATGTTGTTACACTTTAAAGACTAGCTATGCCTCAAGTAAAAATTCATCCAGTGCAGCAGACAAATATATTGAGCAAGTCCTGGGAGGGATGAATTTCTGGAGGATCATTGATCTTATGCTTATCTTCTGCACAGGATAATATTTCATTCAAGTCTCCTCTCTGTTATTTACTTTCACATTTTCCTGTCACAGGCAATATCTGTGTTCAAACCTCCTGGTGCCACAAGCATATGATTCCTTGAAGAAGCTGAAAACCAAAACTCCTCTGTCTTTTCATTTTTACCTCAATTATGAGGCAAAGCAGACAGAAGTCAAACATCAGAAACAGCATAATGGAACAACAGCTTTGCAACTACAAAGTACCCTGTGTTAGGTAAGTGATACAACTTCCCAGCAGACCTGTACCAGTGTCCTGACAGTTATTCCTCATTAGAGAGGGACTAAAACAGAACATTCATTTCAGAGACAATTTCTGCACAGCCCCAGCCTGGCACCATCTGAGAACCGTCAGTAACACTTGCAGGCAGCCAGACACACACTTCTGCTCTCCAGGGAGAGTGTGAGGACTAGCAGAATTTCAGAGACACAAATGGAAAAGCTGGATCCCACAGAACATGCAGGAAATCCTTCCTCAGCAGATAGAATATTAACCTGAGGCTCCCTGTGTCACTACAGCCACGAATTTGTGCATATTCCAGAGCAAACTGAGCCCTGCACCTCCTCTCACACCTTCCCAGCACAGCACCAGAACAACAAAGGTGTGACCTTTGGGTTCAACCTCCTGAAGCTTTAAACCCCACCATTTTTGAGTCAAATCTGTGGTGTCTCCCATCCAAACTGAGTTACAAAACCCAGGCACCTGTTTAGACTTGGGATTCCATAGTAACTAATAAAGAAGCTTGGAGGCAGACAACAGAATGAACACCAGAATGTTTCCTTTAGTCTTCTTCTAAACCCATACAAAAATAATGCCTTTTTGGCCTACTGCCCTTGCCATTCATAGACAACACACTGTATGAGACTTTCATAACCTACTTTTTTAGCTTTAAAACAAGACTGTGTAGGTAAAATATGAATTAATTTTCTCTTTATACCTATTACAATAAATCACCCTTTTGTTGCTGCAAAACACCAGTTGTTAGAGAATAAGAAAAAAACCAAAACCAAGCAGAAAAGGCTAATTGGCTCCATTTTGTTACTGAAGAAAGCCTTTACTTCTCATAATAAACTGTCTAAAAACCATAAAACATATAAAAAATAAATGCAAGTCAATATTTATAATAAGACTATAAAAACTGATGTGTAAGCTACCCCATTAATTTTAAATACTTCACTAGACAATCTTTAGTTATTAAATACCAATTCCTTAAGCATATCAGACTTACTGATATAAAAATTATAACTACAATTAAATCCCTAAATGCATGGCTGGCTCGGGACTTCAAAATTCAAATGCAAAATCTGAACAGCCAGCACTGAACAAGATGGATAAACCCCAGGAAATTATACAGGATAATCATCTCTGGAGCCAACCTAGATTTAAATAGAGAACAGGGGGTGCAGAATTCCCTGGTTGTGGAGGGCTATGCCAGGGTTCCTTCACAGGACCATACATGGAGCATTTGGTATTTGCAGTGGTTAAAAATTCAGGTTCAAGACTGACTTCAGGGGGAGAATATTCCACAGGAAAGGATACAGAAAATAAACACACTGACAATACATTTTTCTTATTCAAAATTATAAAATCAATAATCAAAAGCATCCTTTCAGCTCTAGAGAAAACAAATTCTATGGAAGACACTGATAGTGACAGCCAGGGAACAAATTCAGATCAGACTGTAGCATTCTGCAGCATAAGAAAAAATCCAAGTGAGAAAGAAAAATCCCTCTAAGTTTGACATCCATCTTTAAAAATCATTCCCTGCCTCTATTAGCATAACACACTAATGATCTAACAAGCTGGAAACGCTGTTTTTAAACTCTAAGTTTAATCAATTCAAATGAATAGCACTCCAGAGAAATCATGTCACTAACACGGCAGCACAAGGGAAATGAAGTTATCTCAATTTTCTGGGCTCTTTCACTAAAAGCCTTGGCCTTCTGGACCACACACTGCAGGAGTTTCAGGACTAGACAAGGATGAACTATTGCTTTTCAGATGACGACCACAGTCACAATCAATATTTTATTTGTAAATACTATTTGTAATATGCTCACCTATTTCCAACTACAACCATCATCCCTGATTTTTCAACATATTAACAAGGGACAACAGCTACAAGTTTTTATTTCAAAAGCACTGATTACTGTAAAAATTTATAACAAAATACTGTAAACATAACTTATGTAATATGAAAAGTGATTAGGGCTACAGCCTTAATTTCCTAAAACTCTGCCTCCTTGGAGTTGGGGAAAGATTTCTGAAGAAACTGTGCAGAATATACACATGCTATTCTGAAACCCAGGGGGAACCCTTATTTGGAAAAATCCAATGTCACCCAGAAACCAGAAGCCATTTCATTCCTTTCCTGTGGTCCATACTGGATAGTTTATCATGTAGGAAAATAAAGCACTCTGCAATATATTCCCTGAGCACCTGTTGCACGTTGGTCCTGAAGGCATTTGTTTGACAGACTGGTTGGGATGGAAGTCCCAAGGGCTGGAGCTGTGCACCCTCGGGGAGGCTCAGGTTGGGAATCTCAACATGGACACACCAGGAAAAGGGACCTTCCTCTGACAGGCTCTCTAATGGAAAAGGAAGGAGCAACTCGACTGTGCCCAGCAGGGTGAACACAGCAGGGACTCCAAGAGAAGCCCCCAGGGAGCAGCCAACAAACAGGACCCCAACCCCCCGTGCCCGGGGGCGGGAATTCTGAGCCCGCTCATCCATCTGCCAGTCACCACTCGAGCGTCACAGCAGAACATTTCATCTGCACAGTATTTTGAAGGTCAATCATTTTTCAATTACAGACAATTTGGCAGCGGGAAAATCACGTCCTGCACCACTTAAAATCAGTGCAATGTCATTAAACAACAAAATTACTCCAATGTTCTCACGAAGAACAAAATTATTCATTAAAGCGACCAACTTCTGATTGCTTTTCAAAGAATGTAATAGAATTTTGGTCTTGCATATCTGATGGGAACATTTCCTCCACAAAAACCTTATCACTCAAGATAAAACTTTTGTAGCTTTCCCAATCAGAACAGATTTAATTCCTTATCAGCCTAATCCTCATTTCTCTGTTTCTCAAGAAAATGATCCACTGAGAGTTCAGCAGTACAGCTGCAAGCCTAGAAAGAGATGCAAGTAAGAAATTCATGGAATACTTCTCAACACAACTCCACTCATGATTTATTTATGGACACCCTAACAGTTAAATCAAGCTTTTCTCAATGCAATAACATTTTGTAACTCCATGCTTTAAAAAGAAAGAAAAGTGAGATCTGTGGTATTTTCTGAATGTATCTTGAGTCTTGAAGGTGTTTTTTACACACTCCACAGATGAGGGACATCATGTTTTAGTGCTGTTTGCAGGTATATTGAGAACATCTGGTAAAACAAAGCTGGCACTAACCAGAGAAGTTTTTCAGATTCTTGTAAAACCAGTGCTCCCTAACAGAAAGAAGCTACAGACTGGCTTAGTCTGGCAGTAGTGGTGTGTAGTACACAGCCTGCTTCCAAAATTCCATGTCAATACTGTTGTCTAATTTGTGTTCTCCAAAAACAGATCTCCTGGGGATTGGTCAAACGAACACACTCCTGACCCAACAAACCTCACCTGTTCAGCACTGGCACGACACATCTGATTCTTCCCTCACGCTCCCCTGATCTGCATCCACCTCTGAGCTGTTTGTAACATACTGGGGTGGCTTTTCCCCCTCCATGAACCCAGTGCCAGACCCAGCTGGAGGCAGATCCATCCTGCTCTGGACAGCTGTGCTGCTGCAGCAGAGCCCAAGCAAGGAGAGGCCACAGAGCTGGACTAAAGCCAAGGACTGACTCCAATGAGATGGGAATGGTGCTGTCTCCTGCCAGAAAACAGCCACTCCAAACAGTGTGTCCCACGTGCTGCCATGGACCTCCTGTCCTGCAGGCAGGCAGTGTGCCACACCCAGAGAACCAAAACTGCAAGCCTGGAAGTGCTCTTGAATTCAGACAACTGAATTATTTAAACTTCTTTAAGTTACTTAAGTCTCTTTGGAAAGCAGGATTATTTTATCATTTATCCACATCTGGGATGAGCTGATGATTACTGTTCAGTTGTTGAAAAGCAGCCAGTATTGAGTTAAAGAAATATTAAACCAAAGAAAAGTCAATGTATCACACTGAACTTCAACCTGTTAAAAGCAATAAACAAGCAAACCCTGGATGCTGTTATGTTCCCTTCTCTTTTCATTGCATTGCTGGTGGAGTCTCCAGAGATTTCACTCCAGACAGAATGAAGAACTTTGGTGGCAAAGGCAGGCTTGGGTTTATCACTAGGGAAAAGCACCCAAGATGGGAAGCTGAGATTGCTTCCAGGAGAAGAGCAGAACTGAGGTTGGAATTCCTGAGGCTGCACAACACAGGCCTTTTGTAGCAGCCCTGCCTGAACGCTCCCTCTGCACTTCAAGCTGGCTCTTGTTTCTCCCTGCTGACTCCTGGAGCTCATTTTACGAGTGGACAATTGCACATTATCAGCCAGAGCTTTGAACACGACTGCCAGGGCAGCAGCAGCAGCCACAGAGGCATTGCTGGAATACTCCTCTCCTATGCTGCTGCTTGAATGGCTCACACCAGATCTGCCGAGATAGTTTTAGAGGTGCAATGAAATTATTCCTGGTTAGGTGGAGATTAAATGCACATCATCTGTTACTGGACATCTGTTTAGGTTAATGCCCTTAGTATTCCTGGTGTTTTCCAGTAAGAGGAAATAAAGAGCTCTAAATAACAAAAAGCAAAGTGGAATAAAACTACTGCATTTAATTAGCAAGAACTACTGCCAAATAAAATGCATTTGAACTGTAAAGCTAATTAATCAACTGGAAATCAAAGCAATCGTCATTTATAGTGAAAAGGAAAAACATCCAGTTTGTTTTTGTCATCTCAGAAGTGACTGATTACCACTTAGCATTATAATGATATTCCTTCAGAGTAAATTATAGACTGGCTTCACCTTTCTTGAATATAAGGAAATAAATTTATTGCTTCTCAGCGCTCCAGAAATGAGTTTTGATTAAACTAGAACAGTAGATAAACAGATATTCTTTATTTAAAAAAATAAATAAATTTCAGTCTGCCATCATACTAAATGAGCACAACAAATGGAATATAAATACTACCTGCAGAGTTTCCATGTTACGAGGCAGAGCACAGCCAGCTCTCAAAGCACAGCCAGCATGTGCTACTTGGAGGTTCTCTGACAAGAGACAGCTCTCCTTTGCCAGCTCCCTGGAAAAATATCCCTGCTAGTTTCAACACTGTATATTTAGACCTAGTTTGCTAAATATCCTGTAATGGCTGGAGAAGAACAGATGGAACACCCAAGGCCATCGCTCATCTCAGAGAATTATAACTACCAGTAAAAACTTGGAGAGCTACTATAATTTTCTGCAGAGATTACAGAATTATGATGTTTACCTCTAATGGCTTAATCCATGTTTGTAATAAGGTCTGCCTGCAGAATCCAACACTGATAAGGCAGTAAACAGTTTCAGCCCTGGACCCATTTTCACCCTCACAAGCTTTCTGAGAAATTCTATTCTGGCACTGAAATGCACTGGAACTGCTCTGGTCTCCATCCAAACATCCCCTGCGGCTGCCGAGTAGAGAAAGGGAAATCCATTTCACTCCTCATGATTTATGGGAGACTGAAGAACAATATCTTTCTCCTTACTTTATGAGCTGACATACTTTTCCACCCTTTTCCACTTAATGGCTGAACTTTGAAACTTGGTATATACTTTATTACTCTTTTTGGACGATGTCCAAGACTAAGTTCAAACAAAAACAGGTTAAATAATGGAGTTATAAATGTTTGAAAACTCCCTGCAAAGTGTGCATGAATTCAGTAACCTAAAATGTAATTCTCCATTTTCCCATCATTGCAACAAACATCCAGAGCATCTCAAAAGCAGGCCCTACACTCCCCAAAACCTGAGTTTTTCAGCCCAGAAGTGCTGCAACTTTATATACAGCCTGAGAGTCCTCAGCAGCAGGCTGGAAGTGTTCCTGAGGAGACTGACTGTTCCATAAATATGAAGGAGCAGGGACATGGCAGTAGGATTGTTTTGTAAGAGATTAACAAGGAAAGATTTAGATTAGCATATCTTACCTCATGATTACACCACGCTGAGGGCAAGTGCACTACAAATTACCTGCCAATGAAGTTGCTATAACTCATTTAGGCTCCAGTAACTCAACCACATGCAGTTGTATGCTACATCCAAGAAAGCATCATCCATCTCTCAGCAGCCAGGAAAGCCAAGTGCCCCACACGCACAGACAATCTCAATCCTCTCCTGACAGCCACGTGTGCCTTCGGCGCTCCCGCACCGCGGACGTGGTGCAGCTGAGGAAACAGCTGCAGCCAGGCAGTTAAATTCCCCCTCAGTGCTCTCATCTCCAGAAATTCTGGCTCCTGAGCTGAAAGGCCTGTTCTAAAGACTAATTCATTAAAGACAACACAGACACCGACCTGTAATTAGCTCTCTGACTTCCATGTCGTTTGTTTTCCGCAGCAGTCTGATCAGTGCGGGGATCCCATCACAGTTCTTTATGGCCACTTTGTTCTCGTTGTCCTTCCCGTAGGAGATGTTCCGGAGAGCCCCGCAGGCCTTGCGATGGACCTCAGGCTTGGGATGGTCCAGCAGGCCCACCAGGATGGGGATCCCCTTGAGGTGCCTCACGTCCTTTTTGATCTTGTCGTTCTCGTAGCACAGGTGCTGCAGGTAGGCCGCGGCGTTGGACTTGACGGGGTCGATGGGGTGGCTGAGCATGGCGATGACCTCGGGCAGGTCGGGGTCCCTCCAGCGGGGGTCCTTGCGGATGCTGTCGATGGAGGGGGAGCGCTTGCCCAGGCGGTCGATGCTGGCCATGCTGCCCCGCTCGGGCTGGGCCAGCGGCGCCGCGTAGCCGCCGTGCAGGTACGGGATCCTCTCCTCCACCATCTCGGGCTCCATGGGGTCCTCGTAGCCCCTGCGAGAAACAACGGCCCCAGATAAAGGAAGGGGGAAAAGAAAGGAAAAAGGCACATTTCAACAGCTGTAACTGAGGCAGTACAGTGATTTCAGTGAGCAAACCTTTCAGTATCACAAGCATCATTAGGGGCAGCGTGTTTACAATTTCCAATAATTTATTTGTAGTAACTTGAAAATTAACCATAGTGGAGTTCTCGGCAGTGATGGGACTCCAGCACAGTGTTTGTTTGGCTGGCAATGAAATGATGACAGGAACTGCAAGCCATCAAACAGATTGCTTCCATTTTGGTCACTTAGCAAAACAATTACAGTGGAGCTGGATTACATTCAGTAGGAAACACTGATCTTCATTAATGCTGCTACTTCTGCAACGAACCAAACTCTAATTAAAGGTATTCAAGGCCTGGGCAGAGACCACAGACAGTTTTCAGCACATCTGAGAAGTTCCAGTACACTTCAATGTTGATGCTCACACCAGTGTACTCCAACACTCTTCTCAGTCAATATTACCATAAACCAACTTCTCAGGTGTAACTTCTTGTCAAACCATCAGCACCCTTTTACCTTACTGTTTTTTCCTGGACAGGTTCATTACTGTCTCAGTATTGCCATTCTCACAGTCAAGCAAGTGGTTTTAACTGCTATAAAATGATTCTTAAAATCTTTCATCTGAAGCACTGAGTGATGTTATTGAACCATTTCTGATGTCATGCTCAAGTACAGACTCCCAGAACTCAGAAAGAAAACAGAGTGTTCTGTTATCCCAAAGGGACTGCTAATTAAACCAGGTTCTGGGGAGAGGAGCAACCGGAGGTGGAGACTGAACTTAGCCTGGTACAATTAATGCTTTTAATGTTAAAAGTGCCTCTCCTGACTTTAAGTTGCTTTAATTGCTGTTCTAGACCATAAACTGAATGAAAGGATAAAAATGGGCAAGTATCCAAACCCCAGAATGAATCTGAAGAAATCCTTTTATTGATGCAGTATTTGTGTATGTATAATTCAGTAGTTGCTCTACACAGTAATTTACACTGCCTGGACAGTCCTATCTTCTGTTAGAGTACAAAGCTGTTTCCATCGTTCCAAGAAGAAAGCAACAACATAGAAAAGATTTACTTTTATGCATGTACACAGGGCAGAAGGATTAACAAAACTTTTTAGCTACTCCTCAAGCAAAATTCTATTTTCACAAATGCAAATTTGTGATAACCAGCATTAAAACTGCAACAAAATCTCATTTCTCAAACTCATCCTCATGTTAAGAGTTCTTACTGACTGCACAAAAGAAAAAGAGCAGAAGATTAATTTTAATAATTGCCCTCTGCACAGCTGTTGCTTACTGGACTTGGTAACCTGCAATTCAGCATGTCTCAGTCCTGTGAGCTGCCACAAGATAACTGTGCACCACCTCAATTACACCTGCACAATTAAGTCTCTCTCTTCCCCTCATCCGTGCAAATACACAAAGATAATTACTGTCTCGGGATGCAGTTTGTTTGCTTTATTTCCATAAAGCCCTCCAAATAGAACCACACAGATGGGCCCATCTTCCTCACTCCGTATCCTCTTCCCTGTGCCACACAAAGCTCCTTGGTTTCATTACATTTGCCAAAATAAAACTTCAGTTAGGACTTTAAATTGCAATGCTGTCATGACAGAAGAGAGAGCACTACATAACTGGTGGTTACAATTTCCAATTGTTCATACAGTCCATCCCTACATGAACCATTCACCTATAACTGTTCCTGCCAACCCCAACCTGCTCCTGCTGGACCATCTCCTCAGAGAAAAAAGATTGCACATCTAACACCCCCATCTCAGCACACAAAGACAGCTACTTTGAAACAAGACAGTGGCTCTCAAGTACCTGTAGAGAAAGGATGAATTCAAAAAACACAATTGCTGAAGGAAGCCCACACAGGTCAGGTCCAACACACCTGTGAGGATGAAACAGTGTCAAGAGCCGCTGGTTAATGCACCGTAACAAAACTCCACGACTGTACAAGGCAGCAAAGAAAACACCTGAACACTTGACCCTGGAAGACCCCAATCATTATCTAGAAACTCTGAGATCCTGGTATGACTTAAGAGCTCCACAAGAAAGCCCAGTGAGGGCAATTATCACATCAATTCAGAGTCACATGACTGAACACAGATCAAGGCTGAAGAAGGTTAAAAAAAACAGGGGAAAAAACCCAACCAAACAAAACCAACCACAAACCAACCATACTGCAATTAAAGAAAAAGAATGCTGAAATATTCAGAGCTTCCCTTGTATAATATCAGCTTTGCCACTGTTTAACAGCACTGAAGGGAAGGAGTTTACCAAAACAGATCATCTGAAAGGAGCAAAACAGCTGCTGAGGCAGCACAAGGCAGAAGTGCCACAGACCCCGAGTGTCTGAGCAGCCTGGGCCATGTCCCACGTCCTCTCCTGGAGCAGGGGTTCCAAGGACAGGGAAGGGTGGACTGGCCAACAGAGAAGAAGTCAAAAGCACATGTCTATCAGGGAGTTAAACACACCCTGATCACTAACACATTTATACACAAGGAGAGTAAAGAAATCATCCTTTTGAGTCAGACTGGTGCAGGCCAAACACCATTTTTCACTTTCAGCAGCAGCTGTGCCGGGAAGGAAAAGCCACGGCACAGAACAGGGGCAACAAGAGCTGCAGCAGATCCAGTCGATGGTTCTCAGGAGGCCAAGAGCTCTTTACTCCCGGGACTGAGGAGCCTGGTACTCTGCCAGACTGGCTGACTGCAGGCAGCTTGCCTTCCATCTGTCTGAGCCAGGCAGCTGAGTTTTCAGGATGGCACGGGTCTCACTAATCACCTGTCTCAGGGCACTGATCAAAACATATTCCAGCACAGATAAAATGGGGAAAGAGCTTGTGCATTTATCATCTTCCTCGTGGCTTCAACACAGGCACATCTGAGTAAACAGGTGAGGGATTTAAACATTTAATCCTCAACAACTTATACAAGTGTTACATTCCCCACAGTTTGCAGCTGGCGTCTGCTTTGGATAAAAGACCAGAAAGGCTTCAGAGTTCAGTTGGGAACTTTGTGCCAAACACTGAAGAGGAAACGTGAAGACTCTGCAAGACTGAGGTTCTGCTTTTGCCAGGCTCTGTCCCCTGAGAGGAGACACGAGAGGATCCAAAATGGGAGTGAATCCTCTGCTGAGACAAGTCTGAATTATGGGCCACATGGTTAAAACACCGAAATCCACTGGACTGGAACCACCTAAAAACTGCCAAGGGCTGAGCTCAGGTTCCTTCAGGTTCCCTCCTGCCACACTGAACTGCCACACCAGCCTTCTGCCACCACAGAGGAACAGACTGAGAGCAAATTCAGCTAAGGCAGAGGCTCAGAAAAAAAACCAAGGTATTTTTCAAAATGTCCATGGTGTTTGCTTTGCCCTGTTCTGCCCAGGCATGTCCACAGCTCCTGGCCCACACTGCCCCATCCCAGTGCTGCCCACACACACCTGGAATGAGCAGGCTTGGAACAGAAGTGCTGACTGACAGTTTACCTGCAAATATAGGCCTTTATATCTGGGATTCAAAAAAAGACATCAGAAGAAGAAGAAGACTGACATGCACGTAACACCCATATTCTTGCACTGTCTATACACAACACAAGCAGGAAAGACCTACTGTTGCAGTTATTTAATCTAAAATCTGGCTCATTTCATGGTAATAATTTGGACCATGAAATGACCACCAAACGTAGTTTCAGTCTCTTAGATCAGGCTTCTGACACGGAAAATTTAACAGCAGAAAACTGTTTTGTTGTTGATTTAGTCAACATAAAAAATTTATATCCTGTCTAGTCTGGAACAGTAACACTGGCAATAGCTGCTCCAGAGTCTGCAAGTGCAAACTGCAGTGATCCACTACGGAAAGGAATTACCACAGAGGCAAGGAAAAGCTGAACAGAAGATAATTTAAATAAACAAGATGAATTATGATTTAGCATTTTTTCCCAGTTCATCTGCGTTAACTTCAATTTAATAATCAAGAAATATTCAAATAATAGTAGGGATGCCTTTTGCAAATAAAAGATACCCAGTACTTCCTGTTTCTCTTTCAAAAAGGACTGTATGGAACAGATCTAGCAACACTGTAAGACTGCTATAGTAAAACACCTCCTAATATAATAAATGCAACCCATCAAATGAAGAAAAAAAGGTAATAAACCCAATTAAAGATTTGTAATTACCCTCATAAGTAAACTTGAGTAGTATTAAATCAGTATTATACACCCCAAATGCCTTTCACTCTCTCAATTTATTATGCAGCCTGACTTACACCAAACCAGAGCACAGGCTGAGGGAAAGAACATTAAGTACCAGGTACTCTTGCAGAAAGTAATATATCTCCCATCAGAGACTCAGTATAAAAGAAAACAAGAAAGAAACCCAGGCACAAGCACAGAAGAGCCAACAGAGGGAATATCTGCCTTTGTGCATTTCTCTGGATTTGTAGATGTTTGTGAGGAGGCACATTTTTCCCCAATTGAAAACTAAACATAGGCAGCTTATGAGGTTGGTGATGACAGAGGGGAAGTGCAATAGGTGTTTATTTATCTCTGTGATCCAGTGGAGCAGCCAAGGCATGGGAAGAACAATCTGTACTTGCAATCCCCTGAGCAGGATCCCCCCAGACACAGCCGGGCTGCCCCCTCCTCTCCAGGGAGCCCCACTCACTGCCACCGCCTCCGAGGAGAAACCTGCACTCAGTCCCCTCACCCAGGACAGCTTCAGCCTGGGAACTCACAGGGAAGGTTCTTCTTCTGCCTTTAAACCATTAACAAAAGGGGCAGCAGCTACTGGGAAGGAACTGAGAGAGAACTCAGCGGGTCGCTCAGCGCGAGAATTCCACCTGTGACACGATGAGGTGGCCAAGCTGAGGGCTGGTGCAATGCAGAACATCTACCAGGGCTGTTCTTAAATCTGCTCTGCACACACAAACTTTGGAAAGCAGAAATGCCACCGATGGATCACATTCCGTTAATCATTTTCACAGGAATAACTTACTTTACAAAAAACTAGAGAGGAATAATAAGTTAGTAATTACCCTCATCCAGTACAAAGCACTATTTGTAGTCTTCAGTTTCTTGTAGATCAGTAGCATATCTGAAATGCAGGTTCATTGAATTGTTCAAGCATTTCTTTGAAATGTCAAAAAGTAACTACTTATGAAGAGGCCCTCACACAATCTTCTTATGTTCTCAACAGCTAAAGTTTGCTGCCACAGTCAGGCTAATTATTTGTCAAAGCCTCTTGATCATATTAAATAGGAGGAAAAAAACACAACAAAAGAAATGTAATAGAAAAATTGTGAATTGGTCCTATCCAAAGTGCAAGGAACAATAAATCAAAGAGATGTTAAAAAAACCAAAAAACTTTTAAAATGCAAATGAGTAGGTTCTAAGAATACTTTTAATTCTTCATCTTGCATACAGTTTGAAAAACTTTAATAAAAATTTAAAATCATTGATACCTGACTGTTTTTAAATGAGAAATGTAAACTTGTTTAGTGGCAGAGGAGCACCAATTCAAGTCTGATAGACTGCTCAGTATTTTGGCACCCACTGGGTGCAGATGTTCCCTTTAGCCCTGTAAAACATGGATGTGGTTCCACTGGTGGCAAAGCTTGCAAGGTCAAAGACATCCCAGGGGAACTTAAAGGGTGCAGCAGGTATCAGCTCGTCTGCAAGCCCAGCCAGCTGTTCATGATTTTGTTTGACACATATGCACACAGCCACACCTGCCAGAAGTCTCACAGATCACAAACCCCTCTTTTCACCTTACTAGTATGGGATGGCTCCAAGGCAACACAATCCAGTCACAAGTCTTTTTTAAGAAAAGAAAAAAAATTAACTTAGCCCCCTTGTACAAGATCATCCTTTTTTCTAAAATCAACCTGAACTAAGCAGCCCAGAAACACAGTGTGAGGGTTCTTGAGCCCTACCCTCACTCTCTTTTGTACTTCATGTGTGTTTTGCAGTCATTTATGGGCTAATGACAGGGGCGACCTGTTTTTCTGTCACATAACTCCAGAACTCACCAGATCAGTAACACTTTGAATGCACGTGATCGAATAAGCCAAACAGCAGCAGGTCAGCACTGCAAGGAACAAAGGGGGTTTACCTTCCTTTGTGAGGTCTCCCTCTCTCTGGCACACCTGCAGACGTCCTCCTGTTCACAGTGGAGTAATCAGGATCCAGTTCATAGCCTTCATCATCCACTCCCAGGCTGCGGTTGTCGTCCTCCAGTCCGTAGGGCTCCGGCTGGAAGCGCTCGGGCTGGGAGCGGTTCAGGTCGGCGTTGCTGCCCACCGGCACCTGAGGCTGGGCCACGGGACCGTAGTTGTCCCTCCTGCTTGGCAAAGTGAAGCTGCCATCGTCGGGCCGGTAGGCGCTCCCCGGCACGTAGGCGTAGCGGGGCCGGTAGCCGACGCCGCGGGACAAGCTGCCGTAGCTGTCGGAGAGGTCCCCGTAGCCGTCGTGGCCGAGGTACGGGCGGTACTGGCCCTCGTGGCTCTCGGGGTAGGAGTCGTTGTAGCTGTTGTAGGACCTGGTGAGCGTGGAGGACGCCTGGGGGGTGATGTAGCGCTCGCCGTTCTTGAGGTACCTCCTGTCGATGGAGTCCGTGTAGCTGCCCATGGGTGACGAGCCGTCCATGGCGGGCAGCCCGTCCGGGCCCAGCGGCACCTGGCGCACCGTCCTGGTGGTGACCGTCTTGACCATTTTGGTGACCTGGGAAGAGGCAGGGAGGACATGTGTTAACCTGCTCCTTGCTGCACAACGGGATGAGACACACGGGGAGCTGAAGAGTGAAACGGGGAGGGCACCACAGAGCAACCACAGCGACGTGCCACTGAACAGAGCACCGGGGCACTCGCGGGCTCACCCGTCAGCTTTCGGACTGAAGAGTGGACAAATATTTCTAATAAAGGCTAAAAGACACATTCTAGAGCCAGAGCTAAGTGCACTCTGGGCTCTTTCTACCACATCAAAATCACTGCAGACACGTGACAGTGCATGGAAGCAGCGCAAAGTCATTACAGCAGTTCCAACTTACCCAAAATGTTTTCAGGAGACATCTGTCCTAGAGAAGACTTTATGATGCTGAGGAGCCACAGCCTGTCCTCCCACAATTAGCATAAATATCACAACACATTCACTAGTTTGACAGAAATAAAGTTACATGCTCTTACGTGATCTGGATCAAGTTTGCACCACTGTGTAACTGGATGGAGCTCAAATCTGGCAGCAGTATTTAGGAAACCGTGATCTCAAACAGAAAAGTTCTGGGCTTCCAGATTCTGGACAACAAACCTGCTTTCTCCTTTAAGATATGCTGACATCCAAGAATCACCATACAAGCCCAACAGGTAGTTGTTTTCATTCCTTTGTTTTGCTGACTAACATATTTGCAATAATTAACACCACAGTGTTTTTGCAGCCGGAACCACCTGGGAAAACTTATTGGGCTGGACAAGATTGTTTAAAACGTTTAAAGAAAAATCTGTCCACAAATACATCTTTATCTTTTCTTCCATAAATCACATTTCATTTCAACAGAGAACTGACAAAAACTGGTTAAGTGTCCAGAGGGCCTTTGTGTTCAGGGTTTTTTGCTAAAGGGTAAGGACAGACCCCTCAAGACTTTGCAAGAACGTTCCGCCCTTCGTGGGAAAGTCTGGTAATCTGTTTAACACAGTTCTGGACAAAAGCCACTATTATTACAAACTAGCAAAGAGCCTTCTGTTTGGGTTGGTATCTGGGGTCCATCAGCTCTCTGGACTGTCTTCCAGAGTGACCAGCAAAGGCTCTTTTGAGAAGAATACAAAATTCGACAGAGGCCAATCCATCCTTGGCAGCCCTAGCCCTAATAAAGTTACTTTAACCTATAAAAAGTTACCCTAACCCTAGAAAATGGTGACTTTCAGCCCACTGTAAAAAACCCAACCAAGCAACAAAACAGCACACCCACAAAGGTGAGAAGGAGAATCAACACCCCTCCCACAGTGTTACACACAGCAGGGGAGGAGCACAAAAGAAAACTAACAGATATTTTGGGTTTCTTAAGTATTACAGACGTAACTAAGCATCAGCAACCACACTTTTCTTCATGTGAGCCTCAGAATGAAATGTGTATATCGAGAGAAATGGTAACTATAACATGAAATCCTGGATCACCCAATGGCTCTGAAGTCCAAATAGATATTTTGACCTATAGCCCCCAATTTAAACATTTAGATTGGCAACAGATAAGCCAAACTGCTGCAAAACAAAATAATTAGAGTACAACTCTTGAAGTGGCTCCAGATATGTCCTCTAGCCAGATGTTTTCACACAGAAACCCCAAACAGAAAAAAAATTCACCCAAACAGCATTTCTTTTCCTAGAGACATCTGTGAGCAAATGATACTTCAAGGTAATGAAGTAATGAAATCCTCCAAGGCTGAAAGCAGCACAAATGGCTCTCCAGCAGCAGCATAATCAACAACATCACGTGTTGAACACAGCACAGCCAGGTACCAACATGACCTTGGTGTCTGATGTGAGCCAGAGCTGAAAGAGCTCTCCTCTTCAACCCTACTGATTTCCTTAGCAAGAAAACACCAGGAAAGATGCCCTCTTCCCTGCCTCCCAATCTTCTCTCCCTTTTCTAAAAAGCACAATTTTAATAACAAGAAGAGAGGAAACTAGAAACTAAACATTTCTGTCATGACACAGAATGCAGCAGGGGTTTCTGTTTGTCACCTGGGCACGATACTCCTCTCCACTCCGTTATCAGTGTGACCACTGTCAGGGCATTTATCAGCCCAGCCAGCACTGAGCAGACAGAAAGAGCTGGTGGAGCTCACAGTGGCTCTTTGTAAAGAGGATGCACACAAAGCAACACAGCTCAGTGTTCTCCTGCTGGAGTCTGAAACAACAGTTTTATTCAAAGTAAGTTCATAAGCGAACTTCTAAGGGCAGAAAAAGCGACATTTCTCAGGCCTGGCACTTGTGAGTTCTGCAAAGCCGTGACAAAGCTGGACGAGAAGTGCTGGGCCTTTGTGTACTTCAATTTGGGAACCACTAATGGGAATGACAGGAATTGAGGTACCATGTCAACAATCTGATGAGTCAGAAATGGATATATGTTCCCAGAATGGAACAAGGAGGCAGCTTTGTGATGCCAAGGAGTGCCCTCACACAACCCCCAAAGCTCCTTTCAGCACCACTCAACAAATGGAACTCCGAGCACTGGTTTTCAAGGCACAAGTTGCCACATTGGCACAGTCTGTCACGTGTAGTTTTTCATGAAGTTGTTAAGCTCAGACAATACTTAGTCCCTAATACCCCTCATCTGGCTGCAGCAACAGCACGGAAGAAGGACAATATTTGACCTGCAGGATCCCTGGACAAAGGCTTGGCTCATCTTTGCCAAGCAGGAGGAGGTAACACAGCACAGGAATGCTGTGGCCAGGACAGTGTCTCCACCAGTGGGTACATGGATACAAAAAGGACAAAGAAGACTTTCAGGTCACTGAAAATCAATTCCTAGACAATGTGTGACCTACCACTCACACTTAATGAGTTTTTCACCATGCTCTGGCACTCTACGGAGTATTTACAGAGATTTTTTTTCCTTTTATTACTATTTTAAATAACCCAAGGGATTCCTTTGCAATTTTTTCCCAATTTGCCTTCTTTTCCTGTCTTCAAGACTAGCACAGACAAGCTTTCAGTGGCTGTGGATAGTAAAAAAGCCACACTTGGAGTCAGGCAGCACATGTAAGAACAAGTTTACAACGTTAGCACAGCTTCACCTCTTATTTTCTGAGAGCTGCACCTACTGGCAAACAGAAAGAATCAGGACAATCAAAACCCCCTTGTCAGACACATAAAAAGGAACATTTCACTCGAGCATTAAAGTACCCATTTCTCATAGCACAAAAGCACTCAGTAATGCCAAAGGTGTTATGGTGGGGCAATCAGAGTCATATCTGCAGAGACAGGGAGTATTTGCACTCATGCCTCATTTGTCAGGGATAGGCACCCAGACAGAAGATTTATCATGTGATAAACAGACTTTCTTGCTGACAGGACAATAAAGGGAGGCTTTTTGGAAGCAATTAGCCAGCACACAAAGGAAGGTCCATTTATTAGGTTTCCAAGCAAAAAAAGAAACCCACCCAACAAACCAAACATCGTTATCTCAGGAAATTCTGCTCAAGGGAACCTTTCATTTATGTTTCTTGAAGAACAGGCAGACTGGAGAAGCTGACAGTACAGCAGCCTTCTCTCCCAACATTTTTGTGGTTTCCTTAATATTGATGCATCAGCCAGAGAGAATGAAGCTCTCCCAAATGGGAGTCCCAGCAGGCTGTTCCCTGTGACACCCAATCCTCCAGATGCACCCAATCTTGAGAAAGATCTATTAGCATAAATTCCTCACTACAGATATGCTCTAATGAAAAATTTAGAGGTACAAGTTACTTTGAGAAAGTGCAATTTGACTTCCTCTGTTTACTTTCCATCTCTAAAGAAAACCTGCTTAAAAGGGTTTTTTAGCCTGATGACAAATCAAAGATGCTCAATTGTTTCAAAGCTGCAGTCTCTGAGCAGCAGATGAAAGCTCCAGAGTACTTCCCTGTGAAAAGCCTGCCAGAGTAGGCTTAAAATATATTTGTAATTTTTTATTCCCTGTAAAGACATTAAGATTTCAACTACAGTATAAAAAGTTCCAATCTACCTAATTATTCAGGCCTCTGCAGCCCAAATCCTGCAAGTCAGTGTTTTCACTGCTGCTCCCCCCCAGAATCTAAGCACACTTCAGGTTTACTGACCTTACCATTGTCCCCAACCCCAGAGAGCAATTACTTTATTAAATAATCCCCTTACAGGCCCCATGATAATGTTTTCACTAATTCTATTTCTGGAAATACATTTGCCAACAGAACATAAAGGAAATATTCACATATTTGAAGCAGCTTCTGTGTTTTTCTATTTGCCTTGAAGGATGGCAGAACAAACACGTAACTATCCAGCAACTGGGTTTACTGGATGTATATGGCACAAGTAGATCCCTCCCAGGGCTCAGTCACAGAGGAGTAAAGACAGTACAGAGATTTCAGCTGAACTGGGCTACCATGGTCAAACACAGTCATCCTAACCAGCACCTACAATTCTGCCTTCCATTGTGGTGTTGAGGTTCGTTTTGTTTTGTCTTTACTTTTTTTTAAATCAGTTAAGTACATTATAAAAGCTGACAGGGCTAAAAATTTTGTGGAAACTGTCATGACCCAAAAACCAGATGAGAAGGAATCAGGTGAGAAGCACTGTGACATTTCTGAGAGCTTCTTTTTGAACCAGAGACTGTAGAAGTTCATCAGACCGAAGCTATTACCTTTCTATTAAATGCTGGGCAAGAACTCACCCAGTAGGTTTTCAAAACAACAGCTCAAATTTCTCCCCTTCAATTTTAAGCTTAACATTTCACATTTTGAAAGGGCCCTCAACTTTGCCTGCAATCCCTTCCTGCTCTCTGACCCAACTGCTCTGAATTGCCGTGGGAGTTCCAAAGCCCTGCCCTTCAGGGCACCACCACAGCCCAGGGGTTTGGGATTCCCAGAGCAGGTGCAGGAGGTGGGAGCAGCAGTTCATCACTGCTGGGGAAGATCCAGACCTGCTGAGTGTCAGAAAGCACGAGGAAAACGGATGGAGTACAAATTAAACAGTTTGTATATGGACTGGACTTCACATTTTGTTATGACAAAACATCAATTCCAATGAATATCAGTGACCTAAATCTCTCCAACCTTTCAGCATGTCAATGATAAAAATAAAAGGTGCCTGAAGAAAGAAAAAAATCCAGCATTAACACAAGCACACACATGTCTAATTTGCTTCACTGAGTTCTCTTGAGCCACTTACAACAGGCTCCCTTTAACTCCTGGCAGTGCTCCAGCCAGCAGCAAGAAGGGCTTGTCTCTCCCCAAGGTGACTTTCACTGCTTTAGCTTGATAGGTATTTGGCTTCCAGAGATATTATAAAGTTGAAATGAAGTATTATCTGCTACATCTTTTGTGCAGTGAATGTTACGTAGGGACTTAGTATAATACTATGAGAATAACAGGTAGGGGAAAATTACTCACAAGTACCTCATTTTGAAAAGGCAGATGTTCCCTATTTAAAATATGTCAAATATTAAATTCTATTACGCCTTCTTCCTGCTTCACTGCTGCAGGCATCTCCAAAGATGTGGGGAAAAGCACAGCAAAACTGTCAATGCCTCCAGATTAAGGTTGTTTACTTAATACACTATTGAAAAGAATAACCTCTATAAATGATGGGTTTGTAACAACGGGGGAAGGAGCAGGGAATAAAGAACAGCAGCACACAGGAGCTTTCACGCTCAGCATTTCAGGAGGAAGAATTTCAGAGGCATCACTCTCCAGCAAGCTGGAGATTCACACAATTTAGCAAAATTAAGTGACAGTTTCCTTTTGAAGAATCCAAAAACACATCCTAAATGGCATTGGGTTGACTAATCCCCACTTAAACTATCCAGCAAAGAAAGAACACATTTGGAAAACATCTCTGGTCTTTTTGGCTCTTAAAAAAAAATATGACCTGTGTTATTTACTCTGACAGAGGAATTGTCTCATGCTGCCACTTTCCTTGCAAGACAGATATGCTGCAGACTGTGACTGACACTGTCCAGGAGAGCCTTCTAGTTACAGATAAATAAAAACAGGTTCTAAACCCTTCCTTAAAAAAGCCTAGAGCAAGCACAGCAATGTAGAGCACAGAAAGGTTATCATTCAAAATAAAAAGAAAAGTTGAGCACAAGCCAACCCCTCCTAATCTCCCTTAACAGACTGTGACCACCTCAACTTTACACACTGCCCTTATTAAGTGCCAGACTGGATATTACTGCAGAAGAGATGGGACAATTCCCACCATAAGACATGTTGCTCCTTTACAAGGGCAAGTTCCACCTGCACACTAAAAGCAAGGCAAGATTCATGTGGGTGGGGTTTTTTTGTTTGGTTTGTAGGTATTTTTTTAAATTATTTTTAGCTTTTGGGGTTTTTTTTAAAGTTTTTTTTAAATCCATGGGGGAACAGGCAGAGACACAGAACTGCAGTTTTTGGCCTCAACAAAGATCCTACTGTAGATGCCCAGTGGCCATGTGTTTGCAGCTCCCATCCCAGGGAGGGGTTTTTCTTCACCACCCTCATCTGAGCAGTCAGAATTTCACCACTGCACAGAGCTACCAGAACACTTCATTTTCTCTGTAATGTTCTCACATAATAGTATGACCTATGAAAGCACTATGATGGTATCTATTAGAAATGACAGTGTTGATGCCAATTAACTACAGGACAATTAACTGATGCTACTATGCCCCAGTGACAACAGTTTTCATCTCCACAGTCCCTACCAAAACAAAACGCAAGTTGAAGACCAGTGTGATGGAAAAAAATTACAAAATCTGACCTCAGATTCATATCTAAGAGCTGTTAAACCTGTGCCATTTTATCACAGCAAGGAAGAGTCAAAACAAAGGCATTTCAGAGGCAACAACCAGCCCACAGCAGAGCCTCAGCCCCCCTTCTGGCAGCCAGGGCTGAGCCACCCTGCCTGTGTTCGGACATTTCACAATCACTCTGCTCAACAACTGCATTTCTACATTCTTTTTTTTTGGGTGGTCTTTTTAGCAATGAATTACTGGGGAACAGCTCTGGGCAGTACATCAGTTGGAGTCAGTGGCACTATTGGAAGCACCACAAATGCAGAGTAGGGGGGCTGTGCAGCCTCCCCCTGTCCTGGACACCCGGCAGTGCCTCAGTGACCTGCAGGAACAGGAGGAAGTCTCGCTCTTTGAGATGGAACAGGAGCTCCAGGGTTGCTGTTTTTCCCATTTTCCTTTCCCATATGCAGATACAATGCCTGTTTTGAAGCTGCCACTGTCGTTTTCTGTGGGAAGATGGGAAAACAGAAGGTACCTGACACAAAACTGGTATGGAATTTAAATGCTATGGTGTTATTTACACAGGCTGTTTCTTGCTCTAAAGGACAAATGCACAGTCACATACTGATATTATAGATCATCACTAACCTAAGACACATTTCCAAGCACATTTTCCTCAGCCAAGCCCTACCAAACCATCTCATTCTCCCATCACTGTGTGTGTTTGCAGGGAATGCTGTGAGCTGCTTCAGTAAAATAAAGTGAATCTTAAAAGAATAAACAGCCTGAGAAGGGGTTCTAGTGTTTTTGTTCGGTTAACCTGGATAACTTCTCCTCTCAGTTCACAGCTCCATGAGAGCTGTATCAGCAGAGCTGATAAGGAGTGAGCTGGACACAGAGGGGGAACCGAGAAAGCCCCGAACTCAGCTGTGCTGGCAAACACCACCTTGAAATCCCTGAGGATCACCACAGCATGACTGTCATCACTCAGGCTGCTCCCTGCTATTTCTGTCTCTTGATTAGGTGGCATTCTGCCATTTTCCACCCTGCTTATTAACCCCTCACCTTGGTTTCTGTTCTCCTTGTGGTTCCATCCTCTGAAGTGACAATAGACACGTGGGAGGTGGGAGTGCCTGGGTCCTCCTCCACAGTAACTGTCTCTTCCACCATTTCTTGAGGCTCTTGCATCATTGCTATCGAGGTCTGGTTACTGGGGCTTTGTTCCTAAAGAAGCAGGTAAAAAAAAAATATTGAAATTTTCACTTCTACTGTCATGGTGTAACTATTCTTCTTATTTCAGATTCCTCAACTGAAAAAACACATTTTACCCAAAAACTTGCAAGTACAGATTCAGAGAAAGGAGTATTTACTGTCCCAGGGAAGCATTCTGCAACTATGCTGGTATGACTGGGTTCAGTGCAGCAAACAGAAATCATGAGAAGCATCTATCAAATACTGCATATTTACAGGCAACAGACCACTGCCTTACACTTAAACACTCTTTAAGCCTTCTCTTCGATGCCCAGCATAGGAGCAGTGGAATCTTTGTAAAAACATTCATTCAGTTCTGCTTTCAGAGCAGTTAATTTTACACACCATTAAAAGTTTCTTTTCCATTTGATAAAAAAGTACACTCAGTTGCAGACTAGAGAAGGCTAAAAAACATCAACACCTACAATTAAATGGACACCCTTCCCAAAAAGAAATGGATGGCTGGAGATTAACAGCTGAATTCCGTGAAATGCTTCCCTTCCCACATCTTTGCTAAGTCCATAAGGGCTAACTGGTTATAAGCTTATTTAAAATTTATAACAGATAGACAACATAACAAAAACTAAACAGAAAGCAAGCAGATCAAAGGCAGGTTCTTGCAGGGCTGCTGCCCAGAGAGAACACTCTGCTGCTCGACAGCACCAACATCTGAACCTTCTCCTCATGCAGTTGTGTGCTCCAGCACAGAAATCACAGAAGCTCCCTTTGGAAGATGAACACATTTCAGAAGCTCCACAGCAAGAGGCCAATAAAGAACCAGCTTACACACTGAGAAGTCAGACTTTTCCCCAGCATTATGAATCCTCAGCCATGTAAAACAAAATGACAGACTGTTCATTTCAGTAGAACCCTGAAGGGATCTGGCTACACAGGCCTTAAAGCCAAAGCTGGGCTTCTCTTGGCACATCCTGTCAAAAAGGCACTCAAAGAACATCCTTTATTAAGGACTATATATATACACACATACACACACAAATACCTTTTTATATAGATTTTTTTTAAAACCAAAACATAATGACACGGAGCTCTGAACTGCCAAGTGAACACACCCTCCCCAAAGAGAACACTATGGACAAATCCAGTATACTACTTCACATCACAGGAAAATAAAATGGTTGGGATGAAACTGTTGCCATGCATGAGCTGAGCCTAATTACATAAAGGTTTAAATATTCTCCACATGTGAGCAGCTTCCTCACCAGGGAACTATACAGTATTTCGTACCATTTTACTTAGAAAAATTGCATTTCATCATCTGAGCTACCATCTTCAGACTGACCCTTCTGCTGGGCCATGTTTTGGGCAGGCCCCCAATGACCTTGTGCTGTTGAGCAGAAACTGGGCACTGAGGTCTCATTAAGCTCCACATTTATTTCTTCCATGATATATAATTTCCTTTTAAACAAGCTGAGATATGCCTGTTCAGTTTTCCTTCATTTACAGCTGTATTTTGACCTTCTGGAACCTGGACTTCAGTAAGGAAGCAGCTTTCATTTTCAGGTAAGCAATAATATTAACCAAGACCATGACAAGGAGCCTCCAGCAATCATCTCAGTCAAAATGCAACCTGGACAGCCTTCCAAGGTAATGAACGGATCACCAGAGGTGATATAAGCAGGCACTGCTTCCATTTCTATTGAAACCACAGAGTAACTCAGGGAACAGAATCAATCAACGAGAATAAGGCTTCTGAAGTCCTAAAGAAAATCACTCCTTCCAGTCTGCAATATTTAATCTTTAACAGTAAATAAGTTATGATACGTGTTGGATCCTTTGTGGTAGGGTTCAGATGTCACATGGTGTCTTCTGCCCAGAGCTTCAGAAGGGAACTAGCTCCAGGGATAAATACATTACTCTCCAGGTTTTTCTAGAAGGTACTGTATTTTGACTGCAGCTCCCTTTTCCCCACCCCACAGTGAAGCTTTCCTCTAAAGAGAGCAGTTTACACAATACTGCAACAGAGCAGAGACCAGAACTTCCATTCACCTTCACACAACCCAGCCTTGCCAAGAACAAAGAAACAAACCAGTCACATGGAGAGAGGGTTTTTCCATTACACCCTGTCCCTGTAGAACTCTCATGGAATGCCAGAACTGCTCCAAGGTGGGCCCTTCCCACTCCTCTCACACAGGTACATTCACACATCTCATCCACCAGCTTCGTTTCCAGTTGCACTTGAGGTGCCACAGCTCTTCCTTAAGACTTTTCAGAGGCAAAGTCTGTTTTCTGACAATAAACTGTAGGAAATGGAAGGTGGAAAGAAATATTTTGCTCTTTGAACCTTTGCAATACTTTATTAAAGAAAATAAAAATAGTCTGTCTTTATATTCAGACTGCCTGTGGGCAAAGGAAACCTTAAAAGCTGGGCACTTACACATGAGCAAATTGCAAACTAGAGCATATTGACTTCAAATGAGCACTGCACTGGTTTTTATCCTCTGGTTGCTTCTAAAACGAAGAATGAGGGAGATATGGTACAGATCTGCATTCCTACAAGAGAAAACCATTGCTAGCAAGAGACTGTCCTAAGCATGAGAAAGCCTAAAAGCTTGCCAAGTTCAAGGTAGATCTCTCCTAGCACAGAGAAGTAGCCAGACTGCATCTCCTGCGTGTTCCCTCTTTCTGTGTGAGCCACGAAGGAATGCAGTGAGGGAAGAGGACAGCCATCATCCAGCTTACTCCCTGAATTAGCTTCAGGAGATGGTGCTTTGATCTCCTAACCCAGTACTTTCTCTACATCGCTAACGTGGAATTGTCACAAGCTACATTAATGTAGAAAAGATGCAAAGATTTTGTTATCTGTTTTTAGACTCCATCATTAAGGATTTTAGGTCAACACAAACTGCAGAAACTGGGACACATTACCCCTTTCAACTACCTTCCTCTGTGCTCAGCTTCTAAGGCAGTATTTAGGATGGGTTTTTTTCACTAAATACACCTCAGCATTTCAAATTCCACACTTTGGCAGGTCAGCCTAATTATCCACAGCAAAACACAAGTTGCTGGGTAAGGCTGGAACACAACACCCCCAACAAATAATGCTACCAGTGGTTCCCTGCCTGCCACAGGGAGGTAATTCCAGTTCAGAAAAACACCCTCATGCCTGTACCTTGCTGGGGGCTTTCGAAGCAGAAGCAGACAGACAATTCCTCATGCCAGAGAGGCCCCGTGGTCCTGCTCCTACTGCTGAACTCCACAGCTCGTGTCCCAGGAACACCAAGGGCCAGCAGCTCCTGAGGGCTGTGGCACTAAGGGATCCTGAGGGCTGTGGTACTAAGGGATCCTGGGGATCCTGAGGGCTGGGGCACTAAGGGATCCTGAGGGCTGTGGCACTAGGGGATCCTGAGGGCTGTGGCACTAAGGGATCCTGAGGGCTGTGGCACTAAGGGATCCTCGGGATCCTGAGGGCTGTGGCACTAAGGGATCCTCGGGATCCTGAGGGCTGTGGCACTAAGGGATCCTGGGGATGGTCTGCTCCTGAGGGTAAGGGATCCTGGGGATGGCTGGGCAGGGCCTCGCTGGCTGGTGCCCCAACCCCCAGCACCCAAGGGAGCAGGACAGAGCTGAGCTGGCAGCCAGGCCCAGCCCAGGGGCAGTGTCACAGTGATGGGGAGGCTCGAGGGCAGCCTGGGCAGCAAAGCAGGGTCAGGATGAGGGGCAGGGACAGACAGGCAGGCCTGAGGTCGCTGTGGGCTCTGAGCTGGTGGGGTCCATGGCCACTGCCAGGCACACCAGTCCTCCTCCAGCACACCCCCCCCACTGCTCCTCCAGTACAGCCCAGGCGTGGGCTGAGGGCTCAGCTCAAACACCAGAGCTGCCAGGTCCCTGGGAACAAGCCCCATGTGCAGCTGGTGAGGGCAGTGAGGCCTGCAGTGCCCTCAGGGACCCCACAGACCCCCTAAAACGGATGCAAGGGTTCTCCTGCAATAAACACACATATTTCAATGGGATATCCCCCCCTGCAGATTGCTGAGCATTACCCACTAAGTCCTTTTCAAATAATAATCTTTGGCTTCTTCCAAGATTACAAAATACCACCAAATTACGAGAACAGATTCCAAAGCAGTTATTGCACACAGTGTCAGCAGTCTTGACTTCTCTCTCTGCTTTTGCCTTTTTGAGACCAAATCCTATCCTGTTGATCTGTTCTTGCATCTCCAGTGTGCATCTCCTCTTTTAAAAAAGACATGCTATTTAAAACACAAAGCAACAATCAATTTATCCCCAGCCCGTAAAAGTTAAGTGCAGATGAAACAGCTAAAGACCTTGTAAAATAAGCAAGAATCATAAAATAACAGTAATTCTTGTTTTGTTAAAGAACGGTGATTCACCATTTAGGGTACATATCTCCTAGGGCTTATTTTGCATTAGAATACTACAGCTTCTGTAATCATCACCATTTCAATTCCTAGAGTTATATTTCCACCAAAGTAGCTATTTTATATCTGTTTTAATAAAAGAATAACCTCCCTCAGGAGGATCAGACATCCTACCTTGAGACAGTAAACAAAATTCTTTATTCTCTGCCTATGGAACAATTTTAAACAGTCTGGAAATAATATAAAATTGCAGGAGATTATTACTTCCACTAAAGCAGTCCCTCTTCAAGAACACTGAAAACATGTACATGTACATCGAATCGTCATTCTCCCCGAGATCCCCTTTGTTCATAAGATTGCAGGGCAGGCTATTTTGGCCACTCCTTACTTCAGGCTACTGTCAGATTCCCAATCTGAAGGTTTTTGCAAAGCACAAAGGCTGAATTCTACATCAGTGGACATAACTTGTCCTCAGCCAACCCCAGTACAGACAAAGCTCAAGTGTATCAGCTCCTGTGAAACACATTGCAAGTCTGGGCATAATTAATGGCATTGGACAACAATGCTAATTGAATTAAATGTGGATTCTCTCTCCTCTACTACTCTTTGTTTAAACTACTTATTAGAGCTTCAATCTTTGCAAAGCATGAGATTATTTCCAAGTGTAAAGCAAGCAAACGTTGGTTTTGTCGGAGCCAAGTCTCGGTTGATGTTCTGCCCCACTGGTCTCTTTCCAATTCAGCTCTGCACTTCCAGCTCACCATATCCTCAAGCTGTTATTTGCTGAAGGCACGTGGAGGAGAAAGGAAGACAAAAAAGACAAGTCTGCAGAAACACAGCAGTTGAAAAAAGTCTATCCTGAGATCTTCATCAGACTAGGACACCAGAGAGGAAGAAAATCACTGCTGCAGTTTGTTGAACTTGGTCTATTTGTGGTAGATTTTTTTCAGTAAAAGATCCAACTCCTCAGCAGCTGAAGACTCAAGTCTGATTACTGTCACATCCTCCTGCCTTGTCAGAGCCCCTTTCTTTCACCACAGCCCCAAGAGCAGGACAGTCTCCTGCACGGTTGCCCCTCGGGTGGGACGGGCTCAGAGATGGGCACATGCTGGTTAGATTGGATTGCAGCCCTGGCACTGCTGGGACACAGAGCCCCCAGCCAGGATCAAAGGATGGCACATCCAGGCACAATGGCTCTGGAGCAACAAAGAGCACAGGGACCAGCCTGGACTGGAACTGAGGCAGCACAGAGTGCTGGAAGGAGAGTTTGCAAGTCAGACAATGATTTAAAGATGGGAATACATAAATATCCACTTTGCTGCAGATAAGCTGATCTCCATTTAGTAAACTTACTTTTCTGTTTCCTCATGTGAAATAAAATGTGTTTTTTATATATATAAATAAACATATATGTATGTATACAACAGATTCAGCTCACTTCAATGTGAACCCAAACACATGAACCTACGAGAAGCTTCAAGCTCTGTCAGAGCTCTCACACAAACTCTGCCCTCAGGCTGGTCAGTTCAGAACAGCTGAGAAATGCCAGCCCCAAATGAAAGAAGGCTGTCCTGGCATGGGGTACCAGAATGAACTCAGCCCCACACCACAATGCACCAACTGTTTCCTGAACACTTACACACTTCCTTTGTCCTTTAGAAACACACACGACAAGCAAGGAACAAATAATGCCAAGAGCTTTTAAAGCACCAAGGTTAAAAGGAACATTTCAGCAACTGGAAAAAACCCTCAACTACAGAAGTTTTGAAAAGCCACAAAGAGCAGCTTCTTTTGGAAGCAGGCATGGTAATTCACCCTCTGAAGGCATCACACCTTTCAGGGAAAGCAAGAGGCGGAGGTGAAGGAGAAGGAATCAAACCCAGACAAGGCCTGGAGCAGGAATATTCACCCCTCCAGCGTGGCAGGACACACTGGGGTCTGTTCAGCCACGCGGGAGCTGCCCATCAACGGGCAAACCCACAGGGCCTGCCCAGCAGCCAACAAAGAGGCCTTTTATGCTATTTTAAACAATCTGAAGTGTCTCAGTTAATGGAAGACCGGGCAATTGGCCCTCAACTATTTCTAATTGACTGGAATGATGGATGAAGCTAAAGGGAAAGCTGACCCACTGAACTTTTCCATACAAAGCTAGAAAACTGAGGGAGACTGTAAACAGTTTATAAGAATGAGAAGTGGGAGAGGCAGAATCCCAGGAGCTTTGCTCCTCTCAACCTGCTGTTTTTTCAGACGAGAGAAAACAAAGAGCTTCAACTCAAAGCTACAAACAACAAAAAATACAGGGGAAGGCCTAAACAAGTAGGGTATTTTTCCCATGCTCTCCTCCCCTTTCTCCAGTAGCTGCTTAGCTCTGCCATGCAAGCCGGTCCTTTGAATCAGAAAGGGCAATTTGTCACTTTGACAAGGTGCCTCTCAGGGCTCTGCACTGCCTTGCCCTGCTTTTCAGACTGACTGGGTGTTAACCATAGATGTCAAGACATTACATCTCAGTCAACCTCAACAGATGTGATCATATATACTTAAAACTTCCACCAGTCCTACTACATCAAGGTAATGCTCAGGAAATCACACATGCCCACTGATTTTCAGAACAAAACCATCACCGGTAGCTTCTGTACTGCAAGGAGGCAACACTGCTGCAATGTGACAGAGCTGTCTGCTCACCTCAGCACATCCTAGGAGGGAAGAGTGAGGACAGAAAACTTCTAGGAGGGGAAATGGATGAGTAATAGGTTTGAATTCACAGCACCCAACTGTAGGCAGCTTAGCGAGGTGTCTAAATGCAGATAACTGAATTCTTCCTCTTCAGCCAAAAACAAGAACAGAAGCCTCAGAGAACAGTTCAGACCTTTCACAAACTAAATCACCTCCTTGGACACATCCAGCTCTTGCCACTGATTATGCAGGGAAATGGTATCAAGAAAGCATTAAAGCTGGAGGATGAATCCAGGGCTCAGAGACCCGATGTAAGAAGTCTGTGGTAGAACACAAAACAGGACGAGTGGATGACAACGCATCGCTCAGTCCCTTAAGCACAAGCCCTTTTCCCCCCAGTAGTTCAGCAAGATCAAGTAGTAAAATAGAAGCATAAATCATATAAGTCATTATTTTTAAGATGAAAATGGTACATGCCAAAAGAAAAAAAATAAAGAGCCCCTAGCACACACAGTAGGCCCAGCTCTCCTCTTAATGTCACCAGCACGGCTGCTGCTGCTGTGGACAGCCTGCCCACCAGGAAGCCATCCTAAAGGAGCAGGAAATGACTGTCCCTCACCAAGACCTGTACAGACAGTTCACTGCAATTTGCCAAACTACCTCTCAAAACCAAACACAGTCGAATCTGCTCACCTAATCTTTGACCAAACCCAGAACAGATCTGACTTGCTTCCTCTCTGGAGCCATTCCAATGAACTAACCAAGGTTAAATTAGGGAGATTTTTCGTGGGATGAGGTTACATCATGGATTATAATTTTCCAGCAAGTTTTTTCCTTCATCCCCACCTGCTGCCTCTAGCTGGCATTAAGGGTGGTGTGGGATGACTAATTTTACATTCCTTTCTGCAAGACAGGCATTCAGATTTCATTTCTTCTAGGCCCCACAGAGTTTGGGTCATAAATTAAACTGATGGACATATTACTAGAGATCAAGTCCACAAACTTACATGCACAGGGGAGTCAGAAGTACAAGCTAGGTCCTTCATCTAAAACAAAGAAAACAACCATCAGTTTGGCAGGTGACAGCAGCAGGTCTCTCCATGCAGGCTGTGTGTCCCAGACTCTACCCCAGCCACCTTCACACATCATTACCCCACTAAAGCAAAGTCTGCCAAGGCCCAGCAGTTAACACACCCACGCCTACTTGCACTGCTACAAAACTACCTTAGAGAATTGCTCTTAACTTCAAGGCAGATGTAAACCAGCTCTGCATTCCTTGAATTACAACCCAGGCTGGAGCATTATGTGAGTGTCCTAGGAGCCATATCAGATCAGTGTTAAATTCAACTAATCTCCTCACCCACCCACAATCCTGCTGGTAGATCTGAACAGCACAACCAAAAGGCTTCCTGTGGCAAAACACACTGCCACAAAAGCAAACAAAGCAAGCTTTTATAATCCTGAGGAAGACAGAACAAACAGATCACTGATGATTTTATAAGCCTGCATTACAAGAAAGCCGCTCCTTAAAATAAATTATTTCTCATTCTAGGGAATACAAAGTGATTGACAATAAATCCATCCCACAAGGAATGTGCTTGCCAGTGTCTCCCACTATCAAGCCCCAAAGCAGGTTTGCTTGGCAGCAAGGCAGCAGGACTGTGTCAGTCCAGACAGCTCCCCGGGAGATTACCTGCCTTAAACCACACACTGCTTCTTCCCTCTGCATCTCACCCCTTCCCACACCTGCCCCAAACACAGCAGGACGTGTGAATGCCTCCAACAGTGCCTGGCTCCCATCGCTCCACAACTCCAGAGAAAACAGGGACAGTGGGAATGGCCCCGGGCGGGAGCTCTGGGGCTGCCTGCGAGTCCACTGAACACCAAAAACCACAACTCAACAGAGCCAAAGGCCTCTCTGACTGCTGTAAACCTTCCAAATGGGAGAGATTCCAGCAGAAAGCCAATTTTCCCCAGTGCAATGCAGTTACTGTGCTATTCCAACTCCCCAGGAGAGCTCCCTGATGCCTTTTTGTCCAGTGCTCCATTCACTGCACATGTTTTCTGTTTATGTCCTAACACTGACCTTATAACCCCACTTGTACATGGCCAGCACTCACACAGACTGCAAAGACAGCAGGCAGACTTGCAAAGCCAGTGATAAACTAGCAATGAACAGTAGGGGGAAAAAAAAAGGATGAAAGCAAGAACTTGGATATTAGGGAAAATGCTGAGTAAGAACCTGTTCAGCCCTCTCATCCAGAGCTGTGCAAGGATGCAGATGCACTGCAGTGGGCTCAGAGCACAGCTAACAGAACAGCCAGAGAAAGGGATCAGAGAGGTCTCGCATCCAGCCCTGAAGTCCGAGCTATTAACCTCAAAAGAAGGTCAAGGGGCCATGTGATTACAGTTCAAGTGCCTAAAGGTATAATGGAAAGTTGATGGAGAACCCTTCAGCCTCAGAGAGAAAGGTTTAACCAGCCTGATATCAGTGATGAAGGCTGACACACACATTTTGTTTTAATTTTCAGACAGCAAGGGTGAGCAGTGCAACAAAAAAACCAAGACAGTAAAATTTTGCTGCTTACCATGTTGGACCTGTTTAAGAAACATGATTCTATTTAATCATAAACCTGATAATGGAAAGGTGCTCATGTGCATGCACACAACTCCTCCTGCTTGACTCCGAGGAGTTTTCAGGCTAAGAACAATTTATTTAAAGCTCCTGAAGGAATTACCCATCCCCACAGCTCATCCTCAGCAAACTGCACTTCAGTGCAATAGAGAGACTTCTGTTAGCCTGGGGAGGGGCTAAGGAGGGATCCCTGCTCAGAACTGGTTCTGGCTGAGGGAGTTCCCTCTCCTCCCACCAGTGAGCAGTGGGGAATCCCCCTCTCAGCTGGCCAGCAGGACCTTCAGCAAACCAGAGCACTGTGTCAGCTGAGACACCACCATCACCAAGGACCAACCCTCTCAGCCTTTGCTCTCCACAGCTCCCAAAACCTGCAGTGCCAGTGCAGCTGGAACAGCTGTGGGACAGCAGGAACCAGTGACTGAAGGGGAAACAAAAGAGATGAGCACCATCTGTCCAGGCACCCTCACCCAGGACATTAGTGGGAACCCCCTGGGCCCATTCAGGTATAATAAGAATGCTCAGCAGGGACAGTTCAGCAAGGCCTGCTCTTACTGCAGGGGCACCAACCTCACACAGGAAAAAGTCATTTATGCCAAGGTGGAAGTCACTTGCCCAGAGGTAAATATCTTCACTAGCAAAGTAAAACAGCTCTCAACTTCTCAGTTAAACGTGTCTGGCTTTTCCCATTTGCCATCAGCTCTGGCTAAGTATTCCACAGACTTGCTGGAAACAGGCACCTTTCTGTGACCCCTCTCTCCTGCTGGCACCATGTATACAGTCAGCACTTCTGGACTGAAGTACTTGAATTGTAAAACCCCATCACATTTGCCAACCACTCGATTATTTACACAGTATCTTTTTTATTATTATTTCTGATATGCTTTTGTTTGGCACTTCACAATGGAATTCAAACATGATAAAGACTAAGACAAGACACAGCCCTGGAGTCAGCAATCCAAATCACTTCTAAACAGGTTCTCAGAGGGCTTTTGAGAGAGCCATTTCTCAATTAAACACACACAGATAAAACCAAGAGATCATAAGGGATGAAATGAAAGACTTGCTATTAACGAGCATCAGTCAGAAAACTACACTCATGCTCTGAGTGCTGTACTTCCCTGCAGTTGGCAACACAAGCTGCAGGACTGCTGTTTGAACCCAGGGACGGGACAGCTGCGTTTCCCTCCCACTCCTTGTTCTGGTTTTATGACAGCAAAGAGAATCTTTAATTTTTCCAGAGGAGCTTTGCCAAGCTGAGGCTACAAACAGGATGTGGTGTGTTAGTAAACTCCCAGCCAGCTTGCTCACACAGTGGCCAGAACCCTCCGAGTGCCTAAATCCCCCCTGCAGGCTGGCAGCACCGAGCACCTCGCTGGCAGGTAAAGCAGCCTCCTGGGTGACTCCCTTTGGAACTCAGGATCGTGCAGGAGGTGCCATTTTCACCTGTTCTGGCAGAATACACGGCACCCAAGGACCCTCTCTCCCCTTCTCTCCTTTATATAAAGGAACTGCTTTCCTCTGAGCCACCTCTGCTACTAAAATTCTGGCAGAAATGAACCGGTTCTCACAGTGAAACTCCCCCAAGGGCATCAGAGGAGCAAAGTTCTCCGTAGAGCACTGCAGTCCTTGTATCATCCACACATAAAGCTGTCTTTCCCACAGTTCAAATGAAGTTGTCTTTTCTTCCAATTCTTCACAAAGAATCGAAAGATAAACAGTCATCCCACCCACCTTTTCTTTAACAGTAGGACAGACTCGATCAGTACAAATTCAGCAGCAGTGAGTCCACCACCTGTGATGAACACCCTGCCAAAACCACTGTTCCTGCCTCCAGGACTCACCCTGTGCTTTTTAATCCCTTCCCAGAGTCCCCAGCAGCACAAAAACACGTCCACAAAGGTGCTGCTGAACATACAAGTCAGGTTTGCTCATCTGGACTAACCCATCATTTATAATTATATTATTAACAAATAAAGATGTCTGACAGAAATCCATAACATTGGACAGCTCAGTTTGCTAAATCAAGGAGTACAACAGGTACCAACAGACAAAACATGTGCATGGAAGAGGGTAAGTCTGGCAAAAAGTTGCAAGAGTAATGCTAGAGACAGAAAAACACTAGAAAAAGATGAGCAGAGGAGAAAAGCATCACAAAATATGAGTCTTTCCAGGGAGGGCAAAACCAAAACAATAAAGCACATCAAGACAGAAAAAAATGAGAAGAGACAGAACCCATAAATTAGACAAGGAAGTGTCATGTGGAAGCCAAATCAGTGGCTTTCACAAGAAAAAAAAGTGGCAGGAAAAGGGAAGGAGGAGAGAAATATTTCAGTCTGTAACTCCATCCTGTTAACACTGCTTTATTTCACCGTAAAAGTCTTCTGATGAATAGGAGCTCCCTCCACACACAGCAGTATATTAAGATTCTTTATTAAAGCTTTCCAAACACCACAGTGTCATTCTTTGGCTTTTCATGTGGTTTGCCTAGACTGTGTTTTTGTTGCTCTCATTAGATGTGTATCTTGTACTGACAGGGAAGAGGTTATAAAATACACGAAACCTGAACACGAGCCCAGGATTTGATTTTACACAAGTGAACACTCTCAGGCAACAGTACAATGCCTTGTGTGTGACTTGGGGATGCTTCTGCACACATTCAGGATGGACTGAGTGTGCCCCAACTGCTCCACAGCAGCATGCAATTAATTGAGGGAAGAACAGAAAGGGAAAGGGAGCACAACTGCAGATGTATCCCAACCCACCTCCCAGCCCAGCAGCTCCTGTGCCAGCCCCTTGGCAGGACAGCTCCTGGCTCTGGCAGAGGGCTCAGGATGGGAGGAGGAGCATTGCCCCGAGCCACGGATACCAGGGAAGCACAAGAACAACACACACAAAGATGGAGCCAAATTAATAAATCTTGCTTACAAGGGATGACAGCACGTCAGGAAGAGCAAATGTAACCATCCAGCTATCGGGGTGGAAGACAAAGATATCCATCCTGAACAGCAAATTGTGTCAAACACCATGAACACTTTGCACCCCACAGGCAAAAACTAGCCTGATTCTACACTTAATTCAATTATCCATGTCAACAGTGACCAAACACATCAGCATTTACAGCGTCCCACCATTTATCAGTTCACACACACACAAACTGAATCGGCCCCTGAGTAAGAAATCATCAGCAACTCTGATCATAAGAAAAAAAAAAACCCACAACTATTTTTGCCAAGAAGTTTAAAGTGAGTACAGCTCCATTTGGGAAATGAAATGAAACCTAAGGATAACCGTATCATTTGCTTAACAAAAGCCACCAAACACATTATAACAGGCTCTCAGGACATCTGAAATGTGTTTGGAAACCCAGAAAATAGCCCAGCCAATGTGCTCTCTATACCCTGAGCAGCAGAC